TGGCCGCTGCGCTGGGCACCGTGGACGAGGGCGACTCGCTGGACGGGCCCGAGTACGAGGAGGAGGAGGTGGCCATCCCGCTCAACGCGCCCCCCACCAACCAGTGAGTAGCGCCCGCGCCCAGCGCCGCGGCTCCCGGGCGGCGGCACCGGCCGCTTCCTACCGGCACCGGCGCCCGCGCGGGCCGCGCCGAGAGCTGAGCCCCCCCGCACCGAGGCTGCGGTTTGCCCCGTGGGCCCGGCGGCGTTCGCGGCGGCCCGCGGAGCCGGGCTCTCCTGCTCGCGGTCTGCCCGGGACCCCGCTCGTAGCGCACCGCGCAGGGGGTCTCTTCGTGCCCCAGACCAGCTGCAGCCGTGCCGTTGTGTCTTGCGTTTCTGCTGAGAAAAATGAATTCGGCTTTCCCACCTCAGCTACACTTGTAGGAAATGGGACACGCGCTTTTGTACTGAGCCGGTCTTGAGACGTGCGTTTGAAGTGCATAGAACTGTACATTAATGTACTAGTGGAGAGGCTGCTTTTTGTCGTTAGTGCCTGATTTTTGCTCAGCTGGCTTTGCAGAAAGTTATTTTTGTAGACTGTGTTCAGAGAGGAGAGGTACTTGAAAGAAAAAAAACCCTAACTCTTCAGTATGCTCTTAAACTTTTCTACCAGGTTAATCATCATTCCTCCAGTGCTGGTAATATGAAGAAGAGCCCTGAACGAGAGGCAGAACAGTTCTGTGCTCGTATTTTGTGAAATATAAGATCAGATAGTCACATACAGAGTTCATGTAGTCAGTGAGTACTCTAAACCCAACCTTTGGAGTTGGTAAGTGAACTAACTGTAGGAAGTCTGCAAGTTTATGTAAAGCAGTTGCAACTGTTCTCATGCGAGACAGAAGATAGCCCTCGAGCAGGTACCTTATTCTCCCCAAAATGAAATGGCTTCAAAGGCTTAAATTGCTTACGTTGATATTCACAAATACATTATTCCTGAAGGTATAGTATGCATAGTGGAAAGCCTAGGGTTTCGAGATAGAGCAGATGCATCCAAGGTCTAAGGTCAGAAAGTTCATCTGAAAATCCATCTGAATTTAGGTTCATTTTTTAATGTGTTCTCCTTTGTAAAATAATGCAGAAGTTAATTCTGACACTTGAGTTACTTCCAGTGATTCCAGAGCCGCTACAGTTGGATGGACGATGTAAACTGTAATATTAATGCTTTTAAAAACTAGTCCCTGTCACCTTGATAGACTTTCTAATAATCATTTCCTCTTTTAGTTTTTTGACTTACTGTGGAATTTTGTGAAGATTGAGACCTTGTTTTGTGAAAGCAACGCTTGAATAGTCTTGCCCTTCGGTGTTTCCCAGAGGAGCAAGAGGTAATTAGGCAGTTTAGACAAAGGATGAGGAGGGAAGTAGAAACGCATGAAGGTCCAGTTGCTTCTTTGATATTGCCTGTCAAGTGAGCAAGAGGATACTGCGAATACTGCTCTGGTGGCTTTTCTCTCTGAAAGATTACAGTGCTGCTTTTTTTTTTGCCTTTTTTTTTTTTTTCCCCCTGTTAGAACTGATTGTGATGTTTCACCAAGGATAAGTCGAGTTTTTTTTTTTTTTTCCCTGGAAATGTTTTTAGAAACTGGGCTAGTGATTTGTCTATGAAGAGTTGCCTATTTGATATTTAATGGACTTTACTCCTTATACAGATCTAAGCAGATTTTTGTGTGAAAATGTTGTAACTAATAGGCTCACATGATTTTTAATTTCCTAATGAAGGTATAAACTTTCTGATAAGTAGCACATCCTGAGTGTACTTTTTTATATAAAAAATCCAAGAAATAAACTTTGCTAGAAAAATTGTTTTAGAAGTTTACACCTCTGTCTACTTCAAAGGGCTTTTTTTCCTTTTTTAATTTTATCCTTTGTTGTAACTCTTCTAGAGAAATGGTAGGCTGACAGATGAAAAATAATCGGACAGCTTTTTCCTCTTTCATGTGCATATTTTGTATAAAATCAAATTTTGCTATTCTCAGTTAAGTCATTTAAATTGGCCATATGTTCGTAGTAAATTGTATCCTCTTAGTCCTGCTGCTTTATTTTGGAAGTGCCCTTTCTTTATAGTCTTACCATCTGCTTTCATGGCATTGAACTGTTGATTTATTACCAAAACAAAGAGTAATATTATCTATCATCTTAAAATGTTAAGGAAAGAGTCCAACATGAGTCTCTAGGAACAGTTATTAATTATGTAGTTTAAACCTAGAGTAAGTTTCTCCAGTTGAATGTGATTACAGAACTGCTATTCCATTTGTTTAAACATGACTGGCAGCTCCACCCTTTTCCACTTCCTCCTAATTCATTCAGTTTTTATAGGAAGCACACATGGTGTGCCTGATGGATAGTTCTGTGATTCTGACAAGTGGTTGTTTCTTTGTCTTGTTTAGCATATCTTACTATAAGCATAAAAAAACGCTGCAGCTCTTTGCTCCTGGCCCTGCTTTATGTGACAAAGACAAAAATGAAAAGATGTTATTTCTTGCAAAACAGTAACTACTTGCTGGGACTTCCCTTGGATAAACATCACATTTCAGGACTTACTGGATTGGGTTGCTGACTCCAAACAAAACTATTGATAAAAGATGCTGCTAGTCTTTACTAGTTCGTGCTCTAGTCTGAAATTTGGCCCTTTTATGTAAAATGAAATGTAGCTTCCTATAGAAACTTAGGTACAGCTTTATCTTCCTAACTTGCATTTTGCAAATGCTAAGAGGGAAAAAAAAAAAAAAAAAAAAAAAAGAAAAAGGAAAAACAAGGAAATGAAATCTAAAACCTGAAAAATCTAAAACTCGTAGGACAATAAATTCTCATAGATGGAACTTTTTACAGCGATGTATTTTTAGATACCATATAGCTGGTATAATAATTTTTCCTAGTAAACCTAACCTGAAGAGATGGGAAGTGAAGCAGATGCAAGTTCTGCACTTCCCATCAGGATGCTGTAAATATAGTTTGTTCAGAGCCAGGATGTGTTGGTCTTCATTAGCAACCACCTAATATACTTGGTTTCCTCTTCTCTTTTCCAAGTATCTAAAGAAAGTCATGCCTTCTTTTAGTATGTTTTCTTTCATTATTAAGGAATGGGAAGAGATTGTCAGTATCTAACAGATTCCTTTTAGTCAGAAAGTCGAAATCCCAAAGTAGGATTGATTTCTATCTTCCCTGTTCCGTTGTGAAACTAATTTAAGGCTTATCTCTTGTGAGTTGCTTTTTTTTTGTTTCTCAGGAACGTATAAGTAGCGTGTTTATGATGTAGTTTAATGTTGTGTGGGCGGCATCGGATGTTCGGGAACTGTGGGCGATTCCATGTTCCTTTCAGTCGTGTTTTTTTTTTTTTTTTTTCTTCCCACCCTTTCTACTTCATCTGCAAAGCTTACTGATAAAAGCTAAGGAGAGTCCAAAATGTTATTATGGAAATGTATTCAAAATTACTGAATGCTACTTAATTTCGTAGTAAACCAGTGATAGGTGGCATAGTGTAGCTGTTTGTTTAAGTAAGCATCTTAAATTGACGAGACTGTTGTACATCTTTGTTTTGCATTAAGATAGCAAGAGCTGTTCCGGTACATTTCAGTGAAATTCACATTGTCTTACGGAGCTTTTTAAGCAGTGGTTATCAATTTGAAATGCTAATCCATCAAAATTGAAAACTTTCAACCTTATAGAATGAAGTAGATTGTCAAAATACTGTCTTTTAGAACAAAATCTTACCCAAAGCAGTTGTATTCATACATCTCATAGTGTCTACCAAGGCAACATACTGGTAGGGAAGAAAGCTGAAAATGGAAAGCAAGGTAGAGAAATATTAAATGTAAGTGGCCTGAGTGGATGCATTTTCTCTCTGAATGGAGAGTGAATTTCTTGTTTCTTGAGAAAAGTTTGTCAGTGGCAGCAAGGCTGGAGTTTTGCAGCAGTTGCTTCTTTTGAAGGCTAGGATGAAAAAGATTTTTTTCTGAAAGTGTTGTTGTTGTCGTTTTTACTCGGAACTCAATTTCTGTTGCAATTTGTGTTGCACTGAGTACTGAGGATTGCTGTATTTTGCTGCATTAGGCAAAATGAGTAAAAACAATGCGATGTGACAGGATCTTTGGTGCAAGATCCGCTTCTGTTTGGCAGTTAAGGTGGTTAGTAGGTAAGCTTTTCAGATAATGAGTTTCTTTGGTGGCTTGTTCCTAAAGTGTGGAGGGAAAATGCAGGGAAGCACCTTATTTTTGCAGGTTGATGGATGGTGAATTGATTTGTGTAGACTTTGTAATTTGGGTACTTTTCTTTTTGCTGTTTATAAATCCTTAGTTCTTGTGGTTAGGAGAAGCAGACCCTATATAGGAAGTAACCCTATATAGGAAGTCAAGGAGTAAGTAGACAACATGGTTGGTACATACATTAATGGAAATTTCAGATGAAGGGGAAAAAAAATTAGAACAGAATTTGCTAGTGGGAAAAATTCAGAAAGGAGTTTATTGTATACAGTCAGTACTTCTATTTGAGAGCCTCTTGACCTGTACTTCATTGCAGTTTTATTCTGCGCTGTGTGTTGTCTCCCAGAGCTCCATGTGGGACTTGGCCGCTCCATCCGGCGGCCTGTTCGCTTGAGAAGGGCAGCATCGTGTTCGCCCTGCTTGGGGGCTGCCTGTGGGCAGGAACGCTGATATTTCCCTTTAGGTAGCATGGGCGTCCGCAGGCCCATCTGCTTGTTCAGCCATGCATTCTTGAGAGTCCCTCAGTAGTGTTCCAGTTTCCCACATTTCCTCCTCTCTTTAAAAAATATCTTGATTTCTCCCTCACTGGTGGGTGCAGTAGGTGGAAGGGGAAGGTGTCTTGTCTCAGCATTACTGTTAAGTGGCCTAGAAGCATCCTCACAGAACAGAATCCTGCATTTTTCTGTGATCCTCTAGAGTGTGGTCGGCACCAGCAAATTTTCATCAGCGCTTGACAACTACCATCTACTGTTGTATATATTTACAGGCAGTCTTAAGAAATCTGTCTTATTTTCATGCAAAACGTCTGCTCTATAACTCTGGAATGAAATGAGGTTTCTATTCTTGCATGCTGTCTATAACTTGTTTTG